AAAAAAAAAAACATGTATGGATAAAGTAAACATAATTTGCTAATAAGTTATTTGCATAAGTTATTCTTATGTTACTTTGAAAAATAATTTCACTGTGAAAGACGCATACCATAACATGAGAAGTTTTACAATTATAATTAAAGGCCTTTAATTTGCTAAAAAAGTATAACTATCAATCAACTGTTTATAACTGTGTGCAGCTATAGCCTATATGTGACAGTGGTCTTTCAAACAAGCCAGGAGTCGTTTAAAATGAAGCTGCCGATTAATGTTTATTTGCAAGGCAATGGAGATTACTTACTTTTGATTGACATTCAGAATTGTATTACATCTACCCAAAGTGACTTGCATTGCTTTGAAGGCATATTATATTATGTTCTGCGTGAACTGAACCCATGACCTTTGTTGCTAGCATCATGCTCTATTGTTTGAGCTTCAGAAATCATACATATCGTACATACTGTTTCTAAAGATCTACATTTGAACCAGCTAATCAAGATCTCTTTTTCTTGACCGCTGCAACAAAACAGGTCATCTAAAGACAGTTTTAGGTATGTGACACTGGAAGTGAGAATGCGTGCTGACACAAGAAACTATGAACACGAAACACGTGCAACATGTTTTGTGGTTAGTCTTTATATACATCAAGCGCCAATTTTGTTTTTTTAAATCCATAGATTAAAAAAACAAAAAGTACAATTTCAAAATGGCATTAACATTAGTTACAAAGTTCTTTTGAGAGGAAAGCTTTTATGGGTCAGGTGGCAGTGCATTAACTAATGTGGAAAGCATAAAGGTATAGAGGAAGAGACAATAGAGGCCTTTATCAGCTTACCAGGGAACTCCTTTAAAGGGGTCATATGATGCTGCTAAAAAGAACAGTATTTGGTGTAATGAAATGTGTTTATGCGGTTTAAGGTTCAAAAAACACATAATTTTCCACATACTGTACATTATTGTTTCTCCTCTATGCCCCGCCTTTCTGAAACACGTCAATTTTTACAAAGCTCATCGGTCTGAAAAGCGAGGTGTGCTGTGAGTGGCCAGCTATCCAGTGCGTTGTGATTGGCCGAATACCTCAAGCGTGTGACGGAAATGTTACGCCCCTCACCATACTGTGATGATGCCGTGTCCAGCCGGAGCGACAAGACAAAAACATTAAAACCCATTATAAACGAGGTATTTGTTGCATCCAGTGGGGACATAATTACTGATTATAATGACTTATACTGTCTTTTTACGTGTTGCGTTGCATCGCGCACCGTAAACATAAAACCATGTCTGCATTTGTGATCGGAGAAATGACAAACAACAAGCCCTACTCTACACTGCTCAAAAAACTTGCTTTAAATATAAAAAATATAAAATATAAAAACTCTTTAAATATAAAAAACGTACTTACAGTCTTTGAGTCAGAACAGCCGGCATAAAGTAGTTTCGCTTTCACAACAAAACACAGCGTCAACCACGGCCTTTTCGAGAAGAGGCGGTCGGCTGAGTGAGCAGAGGCGGCGGGCTGTATTAGTATTATATGTAGTATTTCCTCAGCGACCAGCACCTGATCAGCTCCAGGCATGACGAAGCAGATATCGTCCTCTTTTGGAAGACCAAACAAAGTAGTTTCGCTTTCACAACGAAACACACAGCGCCTTCACGACATGGCGGCGGCAGCAACAATACTACAGTGAGAATAAAAGTTACACATTCTTTCTTTGCGTGAACATTTGGGCGACGTTATGCAAATCTTCCCACATAGTGAAGTAGATATGTGGGGGCGTGTTAGAACGAGCCGTTTTAGGTAGGTGTGGCTGACTCTTAACTTTTATAAAGAATATCTCTTTGGATTTGAGACTTTAGTCTTTGCAACTTTACAGATCTTCTTTATGCACCAAGAGCTTGTAACACTTCTAAGAGAAAGGAACAATTGAAATCTCATCATATGACCCCTTTAATGCTGCGCACATCATGCTGGGACAAGAGAAGACCAACTGAAGTCAGCAACATTCAGACAGCTCTGACAAAGGCTGTGATATTCGTATTGTGCCTTGATTCGTACCTCTAGTCGCATTAGTAAAAGTGGCAAGTCATATTTGGATTCACTATCCATCTTACTATGATTGCTGATGGTTCAAAGTCATTGTCAAGCTGTTTTACACCAGTGTTACTGAGCAGCTTCAGAGGAGTGCAGGCAGGGTAGATCTGAGCCGTTCAGGGAGTCTGGTATTAGTTCTGTAGCCCAAATCTTCCCCAAGTCTGCGATGGGCTAGAACAACTGCTTTGGCTGTAGGCATGCACAGAGATTATGACAGAGTGAAGGGCAAGTACATGACTATTTTAAGGCGAAACTTAAATTCACGGATTTCAAAGGGGTAAGTATCTCCGTCTACTTCGTTTAACAGCACAGAAATACAGCAGCTGTACAGTTCAGGAGAGTTTACATTACTGTCTGTCCACCCGCTGTATCATATATACACAACTCATATTTAATATCAACGTCTGCTGTCTACAAGAACAACAACAACATATTTTGAAGTTATGTGTCCACATATTGGACTTCACTGATTGTAATGCAATGTAAACGTAAGGAAAACGAACTATAGCCTATAATGCATATAGTACTAGTTCAAAGCGTGTTTAAACTTCATTTAAAACCATTACTGGGCTATAAATAGATTCTTTAGCGTTAAATAAAATACAAAATAAAATAAATTTGGATGGAACGGATGTGCGCAAAATACTCTTCAGGCCATTAACTCTTGAAAGACAAGAGAACTGAGAAACAAAGGTGGTGCTAGCTTTTGAATGAAACTCAAAGCTGAGCATTAGTGAGTATGTGTGTGAAAGCGTGTAAAGGGCGTGTTGCAGCCACTCACCGCCGCCGGACCAAGCAGTTCGGTCCATCTCTATAAGCGTCTCATCACTCGACCTCCCACGATTCATGTTAATCAAGTGTCCTGTTGTATAGCCTGTTAAACATGTGAGTCTGTTGTGTATTTGTAGGATCGAGCTCAGTCCGAGCCCACGCCCCGTGCTCCGTCTCTGCCCTGCGAGCAGCGGATCAGAAGTGCCCACTCGGGCTTGTCTCGGGCTCCGCCGGAGAAATTACGATCCCTACTATGGCTATGAGAATAGCTCCTCATTAATATGGAGAAGCTGTGACTTCACTATTGGACGGTTAAACAAGCAACGTCATCATCTGCTAATTAATATTAAAGAGCTTGTCTTTTGCATTGGAAGGCTACTAAGAACGTCACCGGGATCTATTTAATATTCATGAGGCAAACCTTCCACGTAGTTGGATTCGGAAACTCGCTCTCTCGCTTTAAAGGGGACCGCAATTTTGTCGGTACACTGCAAAGCGATGCCCATAATTCACTTAAGCTTGAAGATCAGATTAATATAAGTAACTGCTTTAGCCTTTTTAAAATCGTTTTATAATCTTATGGTGAATTTGTGGAAATTAATTTCTGGTGAGTTTATGGAAATTCACTGGAATATTACAATACATGTGTTGAGTCTTAAAAGCTCCACACACTCACACTCACACTCACACACACACACACACACACACACACGTCTGGTTTGCTATGCTTGTGGGGACTCTCCATAGGTGTAATGGTTTTTATACGGTACAGACCGTATATTCTATTGCCCTACACCAACCCTACCCCTAAACCTACCCCTCACAGGAGACTTTGTGCTATTTTTAGATTTTCAAAAAACTAATTCTGTGTGATTTATTAGCTTGTTTACCCGTGGGGGCCTCAATTTAGGTCCCCACCGTGACACGAGTCCCCATGAGTCTGTGTGTTTTCAGATTTAAGTCCCCACCAGAATAGAAAAACAGGTACACACACACACACACACACACACACACACTCACTCACTCACACACACACGCACACACACACTCACACACACACACACTCACACACACTCACTCACTCACACACACACACACAAACACACACACACACACACACACACACACACACACACTCACACACACTTACTCACTCACACACACACACACAAACACACACAAAGGACAAAGAAGGGAGTGGGACGTTATTGTCTCAAATGTTAACGTTGATTTTTATCTGAATGTCATGTTGCCTTGATAACATAGCAGTAAATTTCATGATTACAACTGATAGGATTGTCTTTAAATTCTAAGTTATTTAAACTGTCCTGTCTCAGGTATTCGGTAACATGAAAATATTTGCAAGATATTTTTTAATTTAAATTTTTTAAAGCTCATTAAATCTCAGTAACAACTAAAATTAACCATGATGAGGATCATGCCATAAACAGCAAAGTTCCTTGCAGTGCAGGCTCTGGAGGCTCTTTATGAAGGAATTGTTTGAGATGAACCCACGATGAGCCTGCCCTTTCAAGGACTGAACAATAAGAATGTGTTCATAGTCTCTGACATTACAGATTTGCTAAACAACAAAAATACAATTCACCATTACAAACTATGTTTAACGTTCTGTTCAGCATTGATTGTTTACATTGGTGGTTGATCAGTATTGGTTCCGGAATGCACAATGGCGCCGACGCTGATGGCTGCCTCCGTGGCGTGCTCTGCAGTTGTTTTTATGTTTTTGTTAGTTTGTCCTGTCTTTAGTTATATCCCTGCAATCAGTTTCACCAGAGACGAATTGCTGGACATTCGGAAGTACACACCACCTGATATTTCACCAGTTTTTGACTATTGGGATGTTTTGCTGGACATTGTTGTCGGGGGAGCTGCTGCGCTGATCAAGCGCTTCAGGACGCGCAGACGGGGGAAATGAGCCGGCGCGCTAGTGAAGCTCAGACAGCGCGGATTCAGAACGCCGTTGCCTAGCATCCATCTGGCGAACCTCCGCTCTCTACCCAACAAAACAGACGAACTCCTTCTGCTCTCCCGGACAAATAAGGATTTTTCAAACTCTGCTGCTCTGTGTTTCACGGAAACCTGGCTGAAAGACGCCATTCCGGACAGCGCGTTGAGTCTCCCGGGCATTCAGCTGTTCAGAGCAGATCGCGAAGCAGAATCAACAGGGAAATCACGTGGTATGTGTAAACATACCTGGCAATAAAAACTCATTCTGATTCTGATTCTGATTCTTCTGATTTATTAATGGCCAATTCTGAAACCAATAACTAGAGCTGGGTCACATTTATAATGTCAGTAATAGGCCTACACATAAAAAAAATCACAAAATTGCTTAATAAAGGAATTTTCTTACAATTTACTCAAAATTAACTGAACAAAAATATGACAACAAACAAAATATGCAGGGGTCATTAACAAAGTTGTCAGTGGATTTTGGACACACATTATATGACTTGTTTATCAGCTGGGTTTTGTTGCACAATGACTAGCAAACATATCAGTTAATTATCTGAATGTTATAACAATTACACTCTCACAGTTTTTCAGGAGAAAATGCTGTTACTGAAGCCGCTTGCTAAGAATTCTCCACATCTGTTGGCTTGTTCCAGCCCCACCAGGAGTGTAACTAAAGGAGCTCGTGTAGCCCAGTATAGACTCTTCTGGCCCCGGCCACCCTTCAAGTGCTTACCACAGCCCTTCACTCTAGCAATTACACACGCACTTCTGTCCGGGTGTGGCAGTGGGACAGAAACATAGCTGCCTATTTCCCAAACCTTAACTTCTACAATCTGGGTTTCATCTTTCCTCAGCCGTATGTGAAGGTGGCAGACGCGTTGGGTGGTAGCCTCCTTTCTGAGGCCTATATATGGTCTTTATAGGGGTGGGACCAAAGTAATAAGACAAGAGCAGATTATGTTTAATCATAAGATTATAGAGGAGATTGTGATTTATGTCATTTGAGCTCACATAATCATAAAGCCAGTGAAACGTAAAACCAGTAATTTGTAAGTTATAAGACATTTATACTGAGAAGTAAAAATAAACAAATAAATAAATAAATCTTTTTAGTTGGTTTAGGTAAAATTAATTCAATCTAGCGTGTTTAACTTAACTTTACTACATTTGTCAAAATACATTTTCTACTGCAGGATCAAACCTTTTTTTATATTAATTTACTAAAGTTTAATTAATTTTCTTATGTTTAAATGTTTTGTATGTTTTTTTGTATGTTTTACACATTGCATATAATGAACAACATATATCCTTGGTGTATAATCCTTTTTAAATATTTTAATCCAGACAGACAGACAGACAGACAGACAGACAGACAGACAGACAGACAGATAGACAGATAGACAGATAGATAGATAGATAGATAGATAGATAGATAGATACAGACAGACAGACATACAGATATATGATAGATAGATACAGATAGATAGAGACAGACAGACAGACAGATAGATACAGATAGACAGATAGATAGAGACAGACAGACAGATAGATAGATAGATAGATAGATAGATAGATAGATAGATAGATAGATAGATAGATAGATAGATAGATAGATAGATAGATACAGATAGATACAGACAGACAGACAGACAGATAGATGGATAGATAGATAGATAGATAGATAGATAGATAGATAGATAGATAGATAGATAGATAGATAGATAGATAGATACAGA